GGGGACACCGTAGTAGTAGTAGCAGCCCAAGTGGCAGTAGTAGTCGTCGTCGTCGCGGCAGTAGTAGTAGTAGTAGTAGTAGTAGTAGTAGTAGTAGCAACAGCATCAAAAGCAGCGGCAGCAGCAGGAGTATTAGCGCTTGCATTAACTCGTAGATACAGCCTGAATTCTGTCGACGTCGGCCACCGCCTCGGGCGTGAGGCCGAAAACCTGCCGAACAGGTCTGGGAGCAGGCAGGGGGGTTTCGGGTTCAGGGTTTAGGGATTCCGGGGGCAGTGCTCCGAAGTTTTGCCAGTGGAACAAGCCTGCAGAAGTAGTAAATGCTACGAGCCTCCAATAAGAACCCTTCAATGTTGCACCGGCTTGGACAGGAGGGTGGTTGGAAATCCTGAAACCACATAAACCCTAAACTTAAACGCTAAACCCTAAACTCAAGCCCTGAACCCTAACCCGAACCCTAAAAATCTGAAGCTGGCAACTTGCAACACAGCCCACGCTGAGCACATCTCACACATTCCTAACATCGGGGGCTAGAAACTTAGAATGGGTTTCTGCGTTATCCTGGTCCCAAACCCCAAATAAATCCGAAGCCCTAAACCCTGAACCCTAAAACCTAAGTCTAGGAGAATCTCATGACATGTCCTGACTACTTCCGACCTCTATGCCCCTATGTTCCCGGCACCATTCTTCGAGAACACAGGCGGGCCTATCCCTGCAGACAGGCTAGGACACTACGGCCGGCCGCATCCCGAAGAACCCACTACGAGTCCAAAAGCCCAAAGTTCCAGAGGCCCCAAATATAGGGCCTTACAAAAAGTGGTACAGGTTTTTGTGGCTCATCCTATAATTATAGAAGGACTATAACCGGACAATATTTGTAACCCCCCGAAACCCTAAACCCTGCGCCTCTGCGATCACCTCGCGGTCGACAGCATGCTTCCGCAGCTTCTGGATCTGCTGCGTTATCCTTCAGCATGGCGAACGCAAAATAATGAAGGGCTCAGCGTGGATTGAGGGATGTTTGGTTCGGGGATTTGACGTGTATGGGGTTTAGAACCCGCTGACATGATTTGGAAGCCCCTGCCTTCAGCCAACAACCCTCACTCACTCACAGCGGGGCATGACTACTCGCGTAGTTAACGACTGTTATCCTGGAGTTTCGTGACTGCGCTGTTCTAGCAGCTGGCCGAATACAGCCCTACCACCACTGGCAGCAGACTCGTGGCGGTCCTCTTGCCGAAGCCGTGGACGTTGCCGGGATCCAACGCCTACGCAGAGTAAGACCGCTTTGGGCCTTCAGGGTCTATAAGGTTTAGCGTTTCGGGTGCTTCGATCATAGCTCATATATATATATATATGTGGATACTCACATGCGTATATGAGGGTGTAGTATGTGGGGTTTAGGGTTTAGGGTTTAGGGTCCTGTCGGTATGGACATACCTCAAGCCATGACCCTTTGACCCTAAGCCTTAAACCCGAACTCGCAAACCCAGGACCCTGAACACTCCCAAAATCGAAACCCCAAATGCAAAACACCTGTAACACCCTAGACCGCAAGCGCAAAAGCTAGACCGTAAACCCTAAACCCAACTCTTACTCTTACATTAAGCACCAGTTGCTCCTCCGGCCTAACATAGGGGCCTTAATAACTAGAATAGGGCTTTGGGGCCCATTATAATTAGAATAGGGTTTTGGGGCCCATTATAGTGTAATTATCAAAAGGAACCCCCACAATATCATAGGGAAGTATTAAGGCCCCTAGATTATACCCCAAAAAAACCTGCAAGGCCTTGCATGGGCGCGACTGAATTTCGATATCACCGAGCCTCTGTGGGTGCCGGTTGGAGCTTTAAGCGCTGGTTTGGGGTTTAAGTTTTAGGGTTTAGGGTTTAGGGTTTAGGATTTAGGGTTTAGGGTTTAGGGCTGTAAGGGTTTCATGGTTGGTTCAAGTTTGGCTGAAGTCGTGCAAACCAAGTTTAGGGCAAAAACTTTCGGACCACTGCCGCATTTTGGTCGGTGCTTTCCTGTCTGCACGCTGGGGCAGGCAGAGCGAGCGAACTTCTTCTTTCCACTAGTAGCAAGGCTGTCGGGGCGGGGGCAGAGGATGCCTTGGCAGGACCTGACTCCCAGCACCATAGACGCAGAGTTGAATTCTGGGGAATTGCTTATCAACTCAATCCCCGCTCTCACGAACCTGATCAGTTCCTCCACCCGCAGGCAACGCAGGTGGTTCGAAACTACGAGGATTGACTGACATTCTCGAGTCTGAAAGCATGTCGCATCGTCCCCTTTCCAGTCTGCATAGAATGGCATAACGTAGAGGCCTTAGTAATTAGAATAGGGTTTTGGGGCCCTTTATACTACATTTATCATAAGGACCCCCCCCCAAAAAAATAGTATATCTGTTCTGTTCGGACGGTAGTGCCCTTGTTAGGGCGCGTCCCAAA